TAGATGTCACACAGACCTTTAGGTGTATTTGGTGTGTGTGTGTGTGTGTGTGTGTGTGTGTGTGTGTGTTTGGGAGTGTTGTAATGCAAGAAATAATTGACAATTGATTGAAAATGAATGTAATAATGGTAATAATGCAGCTGTGCAGCTATATTAAGTGATGTTTATGAAGAATTCAGCAGTGCTGTGATAAAAGAATATTTATTTTAACTCTTTGTAACTGTATTCATGTGTATACAAAACTGTGCTCATTATACAGTATGTATTTTGGCAAGGGGTGATATTTGTCTGAAATTGACAAATGAATGCAAGTTTCACAAAATTAAAACTCTCATTTGTCATTAAATAAGTTTCCTACATCTGTTTTGTAAAATTTGTAAATGTATTCTGATTCATATGCATTAAACATTTTTCCTAGATTAACGCTCGCATTACCGTTTGATAACATCAAAGTCATTTTCATGTTTTTACTGAATTCATTTTAGTTTGAATTAAGCTTGATAGTTTTATATTTGTGAATTGCCTTCCATTGGTGAGTGTGTGTGTGTGTGAGTGTGTGTGTGTGTGTGTGTGTGTAATATACAGTAGGGTTCAAAAGTTTGAGATCACATTAAAAACATGGAAAATGGACAAATATCTGGAAATAAACAAAGTTTTAAAACAGAACCATAGATTGCTGCAGCCACGGCGTAAAAACCCCAAAGACTAATTGGTTATGGGTTCTCTTTAGATTTTCCTATGGGTTTTTTATAATAAGAGTTTTTCAATTCATTTGTAAAATAAGGCCTCTGATTAACATAACTTGATGTTACTTGGACATTTTGATGTATAATGTAAACTGCACACACTTGAATTTCTAATCACAATTACAGATGCCACAATTACGGAATTGTTTAAAGCGGCAATTAATCGTTCAAAGTCCACTTAAATTATTCTGCATGCTTAAGATGTTTTTTTTTTTCTCTACAGGTTATCTTAAAGGTTTTTCCACTGTTTTAATTGTAGTTTTAGTATAACATTATAATACCATTCATATTTGTACTTTTTTATTTAAAGATGAAACCAATCCAATGTATAGCTGACATTTGAGGCTTAATATTATAGAAAAGCAATAAAAGCTTTTCAGTTTGTTATTATTATTTTCATCTAAAAATATGGCATGCAGTTGCTTCAAACAATGTTATAAACATCATTCAATGAAAATTGTGATCATCATCGTAATTAAATAAATCACAATTACAATTTCAAGAGAATAATCAACAATTATGATTTTTGTCATAATCTCGCAGCCCTAATATGACATATAATGCCCAATATCAAGAGTGATATTGCCATAAATGTTACCAAAATATAATTTTCACATACGCACATTCTCTGGGTAGATATAAGTTTATGACACATATAAAACCCCTATAGTAAGATTTGTGTATGTACATATGTTAATACTATCTATACAATGATTTTTTTATATGATATTATATGCAGCAACCATATATGTCAACAATATATATTTTATTTATAAATGCAACTTTAACAACAACATGCAGTTTATACAAAAATCTGAAAATTTCTAAATGCATGTCTATCTTTTTTTATTTACTTCTTCATTTATTGATGGGTTTTAGGATAAATGTACATGACATATAATGTCCAAACACATATTTATACAAAATACATATTTTTGTTCCAATTTTTTACAGCTTTCATATTTGTTTTCACTTAAAATGACTATATACAGTATTTTATAAATGGAATATATGTACATATATTACATATGTTTGTATATATTAATACATATGTGTAAATTATGCTGCATAGAAAAATGTCTAAGTATCTTGAATTTTATATTTAGCAAAAACCTTGTTTTAATCAAGCTCTCTATTACAATGAAAAAATAAATAAATATTTCAGAATTTAGTGATTTATCAAATATAAGTGATTTTCTTGCTTCCAATGAAGTATAAGACACACGTTCTCAAATTAGATGCATTTTTCAGTTTAAAATTTCACTCATATTATGCTGATAATATAATTTGTAGTGAAAAAGATTTATTAAATTCCCAATGCAAAATATAAACATTTTCCCTGGTGCTCTCAGGTTTTTATACCCCACTGTATGTAATATATACAAAACATTAATTGTGTCAAATGTTTGTGTGTGTGTGTGTGTGTGTTCACCTGAGGTGGTTTCTGCTCCGGTTGACGGCCGTCTCCACCCTCTCCACCTGTGCATGCAAAAGACTTTATAAAGAAACTGGGACAAAGACTCTATAAACACACACACACACACACACACACCTGAGAGCTGTAATTGTGTTTTAACATCTCTCTCGATCTCTCTCTGTTTCTGTCTGTAGGATATGTTCACAGCGGAGTGTAAGTTTAAGGAGAGTGTGTTTGAGAATTATTATGTGATCTACTCATCCACGGTGTATCGCCAGCATGAGAGCGGACGCGCCTGGTTCCTCGGACTCAATAAAGAAGGAATCATCATGAAGGGAAACCGGGTCAAGAAAACTAAACCGTGCTCACACTTCGTGCCCAGACCCATTGAAGGTGAGGACACACACACACACACACACACTCAAACTCATACACTCTCACACACACTCACACTCTCACACACTCACACACACACACACACACACACACACACATACACATACATACACATACACATAAGTAGGGCTGGGTGATGCATGAAATATTTACAGTTTATTTTTATTTTACTAACTATTTTAAGAGTAGACGTGTGTCATGACTTGCTCAATTTAAACGTTTGAAATGTTTGAATAATTTACATGAAATAGTTCTTTCAATCTGTTTGTTTTAATGAATCAGTTCAAAATTCAAACTGAATTCTTTGGTCATTACTCAGAAATGTTCTTTATTTGGCATTTTTTAAATTGCTTTTAGTAAAATATTAAGGCCATGTACATTCAAATTGTTACCTATAAATAAAGCTTAAATAATATAAAAATTCTTGTGTTATTTGAGTGAAATAAAGTAGAAATCATACATTGATTATTTTAACTAGATTTTTACTGTAATTTTTTTTTATATATTTCAAATCTATTTCACATCATTGGCTATTTGCTTGAAATATAATATATACAGAGAGAGAGAGAAAATGTCAATATTTGCCAGTCTTTTTTTTATAATATTCTATATAATTTATGTGTGTGTGCGTGCGCATAGGTAGAATTTTATAGGAAACACATATTAAAATACATTAAATAAAATTGAATATTTAATATATTAAATAATATATTAATAAAATATATTAAATGTTATTTCAACTACATCACCCAGAACTACACACAAATACATATGCATATGATCAATTCTTTTAACATATTGTGTATACACACACACACACACACACACGTTTGTTTCTGTGAATTGTGGGGACTTTCTACTGACTTTTATTACTTTTATACTGACCAAACGATATTTTATATCCCCTAACCCTAAACCTACCCCTTACAGAAAACCTGTTTGCATTGTTGCACTTTCAGATAAAAGCCATTTACTATTTTTAATCATTTTTTTCCAGTGTGAAATATTTCAGGTTTTCTATCCTTGACAAGTGCACGCACACACACACACACACACACACACACACA